ACTCTTTCCAAGTCTCATCCCAGTTCTGGAGATGGGAGTTTCAGTGCTGAGTCTGTGGCCTTCTTGTTCCAGCACAGCCTTGCTGCTATTCAGTGTCACTGAGCTGGTCATGATGTCTAAGAACTCAGGGATATAAAAGTCTACATCTTTGCTGGTTTTGCATTTCAGACTCTAAACCTTACTAATCCTCATACATTTCGGGACCTGTCAAAGCCCATGGGAGCACAGACTGTGGAGAGGAAACACAAGTTCATCCAGCGCTACAATGAGGTGGAGAAGAGTGAGGGTGAGTATTTTAGGAGACTAACAGACAGCAAAGGCTTGACTCCCCTCAGGCCTTTGGGGTTGCTGGTGAATCCCTTGGAAAAGATCACCCAAAATCTTTCCAGAGATGTGGCTAAGGGAAGCACCATGCAAGAAGATCCTTTTGCTTCTGGGTACAAATTGGTTGAGGATTCAAGGAGAAATGACTCCTGCAAGTGCTGCCTTATGTACCTTATACTGCTGCATTCTGTTCTCTTCCCTTGCGTAGGAAGAGATACTACAGCAAAAAGCAATGTTCCCTAGAAAAGACTGCTCTGTTAGCTAAGCTACACGCATTAGTCTTGCTTGTTAGCTAAACTGCATGTAGAAGACTGCTGCACACAGCTTAGCTAACAGTTACTTTAAGAAAAGGAAACAGGACATTTAGGCTGTTGACCTCTGGAGATCAAGACCTTTTTTGGTACTAATGGGGAAGGGGATGGTCTGGAAAGTTAAAGGCCTTATTCTTCAGAGAATGAAATGTGGAAGGCCAAAAAAGACTATACAGAGATGGTAGTAACTGCACATTCAATGAAAATATGCAATGTGTGCTTTTGCTCACAGATACTTGAACACATCTGCTTTAAAGACCTGCTCTCTATTTAGTTGTGCTGTGGTAACCAGATGCTATGGGCTTGAAATAGTGATATTTTGCATTGGAATCTGATTTGTGTCCAATTTCCAGGAGACCTGTCAGCCCAGTGCCACTACTGTACTCACTATTCATCAGCAATTATAGTGGCATCTTACCTGGTCCGAATGGAGCCATTTACCCAGACCTTCTGTTCTCTGCAGGTAAGGGGCAAGATAGCTTCCCTCCTACACCTCGTTATGAACCATGTAGCACATTATAGTGGCTGTGTAATGAAGGAGGATTAATTCTTTTTATGTTTTCTGTATGGTCTATGCTATGTCTGTTGAATTCAGTGAAAACATCTTAATGGGAGCATGATTGATGCCCGATGATCTTTTTTTCTGAGGGAGAAGGATTGTTTAGTTTTGGTCTTGTGATGCATTTTGTAAGAGCTGAGGCATGTAAACAACTAGACAATGTTTTACTACTTGTCTGAACATAAACTTCTGACTTTGGGGCATATGAGACTTCCATGCTCAGTATTCAAAGCCCAAGTGCCCACACAATAATGCGGCTACAGGCAAGCATTTGGAGCTGGCTGTGGTGGCATAAAGAACATTCCTGGGCCGGATGAGGATGCACAGGTTCTGGTGGGTGGGTAATAATAGGGATCATAGGATCAGTTCCTTGAAGGAGAAATGGGGTGAGACTACATCCAGTGCTCCAGAAGGACTGTTTTGTTTTAGCTGGTTCTGAACTTGGCACTGGTTTATGGTGCCAAAAGCACGCACCATGGAATTGAATTTCATGGAAACTGAACTTTGTGCTTACCTTTCCCAGCTTGTCAGCCTACAGGTTCACCAAATTTCCTGACTGCCTTCATCAACAGGCAGTTGGTGACACCCAAGCACAGACACTTGGGCTGTAGCAGACAGTTGTTACCCTTATTTCTGGAACATGTGTTGTGTTATAGCAGGGTCTACCAGGAGAACAGGTCCTCAAAAGTGTATTTTTTTAAGGAGTATCTTGATGGAATCTGCCTATCCTTATGGAGCAATGTGAGGGATATCACTAGGCCAGATATTTCGCACTCAGACTGCTGTATGTATGGTGAAGGCTGGTCATGCCTCCTGCAGCTTTCCAAGTGCTTTGCTGTTGTGCTTGTCTTTTTTCTTTCTCTCTTTCTTTTTTTTTTTTAATGAACTAATACACATAAAGTGCTGTGCTAATTAAGTAATAAGCCCTATGATATTGGCTGTTACCAGCAGTAGCTGATGGGTTAGTGAACCACCTGAGGCATTGGTTACCATCGCACTCTGTGAGCCATATGTTAGCTGCAGTCATGAATGACTGCGGAGTAGTTATTTCTTGTTGTAAACAACAAAGGCTGCTGTATTTCACTGGCACGCTTTTCATGCACAGCAAGTTCCCAGCCTGAGTAGCTGCTTTGCAACTGTGTGTGATAAGCAGGTAACCAGCATTTTTGTGGGGATCATTATCTTTAGAGGCTGCTGAGATCTGAAGCTCTCAAAATTTTATCTGGCTGTGAATCCACTGAAACTGTTGAACTTCTCATTCCTTTGCTCTTATGTTGCTGCATGTTCAGCTGAGCTCCTTGCTGTCATGTCCCCCAAGTGACTGGTCCTGTAGTGGCTTAGGAATTGCTAACTGTGAGAAGCAGTCAGGCAAACAGCAAACCTGAGAACTGTATGGTCAAGTCAAGAGCAGGTTGGAAATGGAGTACTCCCAAACTTAAGACCTTGGAAAGGTGCTGAGCTGGGAGCTGTGAAAGCTTCTCAGCATCTTAAAAAGTGGGAAAGCTATGCTTATAGCTGCAAACTGCCTGTCTGAATGCACATGACAAGGAAATGCAACAACTTGGGTGCACCCCTTCTGAAAAATGGATGATGGCATAACATCCTGTCAAGTCAAAGAATTGATTTGCACCTGATAACAAAAGGTGGCAGTGAGGAAGCATTGCGTCTAGTAAGAGAACTGTACAGGAGTTTACAAAACATTATTTCTCATTTTATTTAAGTCTATTGAGATATGACTCTGGAAAAAAGTGCGTATGTACTTTGCATATTGTACTGGAATGGATGAAAAACTGGCTCAGACACGTGCTGTATGGTACCTTTCACTTCGCCTTGGTCAAGTACCTCCTAGAATTCCTTTCAGGAATTGGTCTCAGCACCACAAAAAAGCAGCAAAGGTTTCTGTGTTTAGTGTCTTCACTGGAAAGGCATTCTAGGACCCCATGTGCTCAATAATTAGTGACACTTGCTTTTGATTCAACTCAGATTTTATCCCCTTTTATTCTTATCCCACTGTTGCATTTCAGCTAACAGGCTGATCATCTTTCCCGGCATTTACTTCTCAAAGAGAATAGGGTTCTTACTCTTCATTGTGTCACTGACTCTTGAGCAGTCATTTAAGCACTGTCTGCAGGTATTTACTGCTCAGCAATTCTGGGGTTGTAGTAAGTCTTTGCACCTTTGTAAGCATCTCTTAGAAACACTTTGAGGTCTTTGAGTTTAAAGTACCACTAAGGATCAGTGATACTTAGTTTTATAAATGTGGGAAGTTATAACTTCTCTCTAGAGATCATTTTGACTAGTTGCTTTGCATATACCCTGCTGAGCTGTAGTTTTAAAAATCATATTTTTCCAGTATTCCTGATGACAGTATAAGGCCTCTACTGAAAGGAAAGAAAACAGAGCCTTACTCTATCTAGCTATAGTAAGCCATAAGAGTTTATGCCAACCTGCAATCTAAAGGCATAAAACAATTCTTGATTCTCTTTTTCCCTTTCAGTGCAGTTTTTGCATTCATAGAGAGAGAAAACTCATTAATTTTGATATAAATATATGCAAATAAATTTATTAATATAGGAAATGGGAAAATCAGTTATTGCTTCCTTTATAAATAATACAGGCTTAAGTTTTAAAGATATTACTTTTCCCTAAAATGAATTAGACAGCCAGGGAAAATATCACATTTTTTCGTAGTGGTAATATCTTTAACCAGATTTGTTGCGCTAACAGCATTTCCTATGTATATATTATTTTTATTTAATACAGGTAATCTTTTTATTACAAATCATATTGTTTCTCAGGAGATTACCATCAGCTCTCATAAAAGCTGCAAAAAAAGATGAAAAAGCATCAATCACCACCAGACACAGCGTGCTGTGTGCAGATTAAATATACAAAACCCTTTAATATGCTTCAATGAGATACTTGTTAACTGTTGATTTATTTATAGTCCTCCTTCTACTCTGTTTTAATTTCAATTTGAATTTGACTCCGAGGGTCCCTGCCTAATAATGATCAAGAACAAGATGACCTTGTGCATCAGATTAACTCAAGCTAGGCTTACTCATGTGATTAGCCACTTTTTCACTCAGTCCCTTGAGTGGGTGTGGGAAGGCTTCACAATTGTCAGTGGTATGAGGAAGAAGGACATAAAATACAAGGAAGTAAAGTGGAACTATACTGTCATTTAGAGATGAGACTGGACCAAAAACCTGGCCAGAATTCACCTCAGGGGAAACACAGTCGGGGTATTTCCATCTGGAATATGTGTTGGCTTTTGGTGGGAGTCTATCTCAAAAGACAAGCAAGGAGATATGGATTCAGAACTTAGGGTTTATTGAATTCTGTATTTTGGTAGCTTATCCATGAGGGTCACTTCCTAACAAAAGATAATGGCAAAAATTATTTCTTGATTTGCAATTCCCAGACTTAGCAGAGTTTGTAGATCCAAAGGAGTTGCATCGTAAGTGTGCAGATGCCCTGGGAGTCAAAGGACAGTGGTTCTTACCATCAGAAACCAATACGGGAACTGCTGCTCAGGGTTCTTCTGGTCCATGGGAGTGGGATCCCATCCTTACAGCATGAGGATGCTTGGATGTTTCTATTTAGTGGAATGCAAGTCAAAGCTTCAGTTGACTGTTACTGTGCAGAAGGACAGCATCTTCCTCACCTGGCACATGCAACAGTCTACAGGCAGAGAGCAAACCAAAAGCTATCAAGTTTTCTCAATAGGTCAGCCATAAACAGAACCTGACTGCATCTCATTTATTAGTAGATTCAGTCTTGTACCAGCTCTGGGTTTTAGTGTCTTCATTCTGCAATCCTGCTGGCCTGGTCTTTTTGCCCGGTGAAGCAGCTTTGAGGACTGAATGGTTGAGGATGAGCAATTGTTCATACACTTTTCACTGCACTGCAGAACTGTTTAAAGATACTTGTTCTATCTTTGACAATCTAGCTTGAGCCTTAACAGTGGGATGTAGTGTTATGTCCCATGACATATAATCCAAATTAATTAACCCCAATGAGAAATACATATATTAGCCTGAGAACAAGTTGCAGTTGGGCAGCTATACTGCTGTCAGTACCTGGACTAGGTATTGAGAAACAATTTGGTTCTATCACTTTATACAGTTAAAAAGTCACCGTTCTTCTGAAACAGCTTGTTCATTCTGACAAACTCATTCAGATGATCTCCATAAACTGATTGGCTATTTGGTTATTTCCATTGTTGTGGAAATTTTATATTAAATTCTTTCATGCTCAATGTAGAGATCCTTATACACAGGCAAACCTGGATTTTCACAAATGCATATATTATCTGAAATCTCATTAGAAAATCTTTTAGGAATTATGGTAAGGCATATATGCTTCATTCAGTGAATTATATTATTATTAATATTAATTGTTGTTATTGTCTTTCTTCTTGAGGCCTTAGTTCAGAGTGATGTCTGGGGCTACTAGGGCTGCTTTTGTCTAGTGTTTGACTCTCATTAAACTAAACATGTTCAAATGATCTCAGGATATGATGTAGTTTGTTTCTTCTTCTTTACATACTAATTCAGCTTGGGACCCAGACATTCTTCCCTTCTTCCTCCCTTTAAGCTGTCCCTCATTGCCATAAGGAATAAACTGTCCCTTCTGGCTCGTGCCCACTGCGCCTTTCTTGTTTTCCTGGATCTGATTAATGTCATTTGAGTGGTACCCCCTTTCCCCAAAGACTTTTCTCCGAAGGATTGCACATAAGGTTGCGACCCAAATAGTTGTGAACAGCTGAAGTGAAAGCACTGAAGTTGTGTCCACAGGCCTGCAAATCACTTTGGGATGAAAGGAATTAATTGCCTTCAGAAGCATTAATAATGGGTACACTGATATTCTCAAGCTGCCCATGATCATTTCAGCTTGCCTCT